ACCTCGTGACGAGCGGTGAAAGCCCCGTCCGGTGCGTCCCTGGAAGACCTCGTGACGAGCGGTGAAAGCCCCGTCTGGTGCGTCCCTGGAAGACCTCGTGACGAGCGGTGGAAGCCCCGTCTGGTGCGTCCCTGGAAGACCTCGTGACGAGCAGTGAAAGCATAGCGAGGATGATGAGGCTGGCGCAGGACCAGGCAGCGTCTCATTGGGTTGTGCACAGGGTCGCCATGAGTCGGAGCTGACTCGACAGCACCTAACAACGACAACAGAGATTCTTTGGGTAAAGCTAAATTCCAGATCCCACAGGGAAGCACTTTAGAGGTTATTTATAGGGTGGACAGAACTTAGACTGTTATTTCAGACTTGGTAATTTAAAGTATACTGAGATATTTTCTCTTCTAGTTAATCCCCAGGCGTTCTGGTGGCATAATGCCTAAGACATTTGACTGCTAACCAGAAGGCTGGTGGTTCAAACCCACCAGCCCCTCCTCGGAAGGAAGGTTGGGCAATCTACTTCCGTAGACATACTGCCTTGGAAACCCAAGGAGAGGTCGCTATGAGTCAGATCGACTCAATGGCAGTGAGTTTGGTGTGGTTTTTTTTTTTTTCTTTCCTTTTTTTTTTAGTTTAGTTTAGTTAATCCCCAAATTTAACCCCTTACAGTTACTCAGTATCTTCAGAGGACCCAGAATGTTCACAGGCATTTATGCTGTCAGCATTCTCAGATTTCCAGCAAAGAGGAGCCCCTGCACCACAGAAGAGTTCAGGCATTCCCATCTGTAGCTGATTACCAGGTGGCAGAACTGGGACTAGAAGCTGGTCTCTGAGGAGACTTTCCTTAACTGCTGAGTTCTGTCTAACGATGACTTGCTGGACCGTGTGAGGCCCTGCAGGGCCTCTGGAGTCACTGAGTCATGACTGACTTCTCGAGCTGAAGAATGGGTCCTTATTGGCACCGACCAGCGGGAAGCCTGCTGGGAGCCCTGGCAGCCAGCACGTGGCATTAGCTGCATCGTCCCCTGTTCCACAGCAAGGTAGGGTCCTAGCAGTGGCTTCATGAAAGTCCCAGCTAGAGCATCACAGCAGGGGGTCGTCCGTACTGCGTCCTCCAGGTCTTTTTCTGGGAACGAGGCATTGTCTTCAGTTAGTCCTCAAAATGTACACCGTTTTAATTACTCCTTGTTCATTCCCGCCTCACGCTCTTTATGTTCTAGTTCCGTTCGTCTTTGTGCACGATTGCCCCAGATCTGTGAGCTGTTCCTAGACACGACGGTTTTCGGAAAACAGTGAGGGACAGGGAAGTGAAAGGGGAAGCTTTCGGTGCCTTTTCCTCCTCTCCTGTTTGGCACTGGATTCGCGGTCGTAGGCGCTGGTGCGGTTTTCAGGAACTGTGGCCTTTGCTAGAAGCTGCTGCTTCCCAGTGCAGACGCTGCTCCCCAGTGCAGACGCTGTTGGTATAGTTTTGAAGCTCCCTGCTGCTTTTGCCATTCCCACACTTAGACGCCTTTGCCAAAAGAAATCGTGTCTTTTATTTCCTGGCTAAATAGTTAGCATTCTGTATAATTTTAAATTATATAGGAAAACTACAGATATCCTGGCTTTTTTATTGCTTTATTTCCAAGCAAGGCATTCTGGTGGTATAGTGGTTAAGGCATTTGGCTGAACCCATCAGCTGCTCCATGGAAGAAAGATGAGGCAGTCTGCTTCCATAAAGATGTACAGCCTTGGAAACCCAGTGGGGGTTGCTATGAGTGAAAATCGATTCAGTGGCAGTGGGTTTGGTTTTTGGTTATTTCCAAGCAGCTGAAAATAGTGACGAGTGTTGTTGCGTTCATTTATCTATTTGTTCATTCATACAATAAATATTTATCAAGACCCTACTATATGCCAGGCATCGTTCTCGGCACAGGGAGTCAGCAATGAAGAACACATTCAAATCCATTGAAGTTTCTTTAGGAAGCTTACATCCTAGCAGGCAGCAATGCCCTAAATGAGTTTCGCAGACCCTTGGGTCCCTGAGGCCCTTTCAGAGGTGCACGAGGTCAGAATTACTTTCCTAGTCGTGTTGTGGTATCATTTGCCTTTTCCACTGTGTTCACATTTGTGTTGACATTAAAAGAGCAACAGGGGGCACAGTTGCTGGGACCTTAGCCCAACCAAGACATCGTCCCCAGAAAGTACCAGTAGTCATTGCCGCGGTTACCACCACACTCAAAATGAGCAGGTGGAGGGCACAGGCCCACAGTTTCACTCAAGAATGTCCTGCAGGAAGCAGTGACGATTGTTAGTTTCATACATCTCACCCCGAGTCAGTATCTTCTTAATATTCTAGTGACGTGGGAAGTACGTGTAAAGCCCTTCCACTTTATAGTGAAGTGGAGAGTTTCTTTTGAGGAAAAGCACTTGTATTATTGAGTTGTGAACTAAAAACCAGTGAGAACCAGTTGCCATGAGTCGGTTCTAACTCATGGCAGCCCCGTGTGTGCTTTGTAAGGTTTTCGGTGGCGGGCTTTCCCAGCACATCACCAGGCTGTTCTTCCAAGGTGCCTGCAGCTGGACTAGAACCATCAACTTTTTGGTTAGCAGCCAAGCACATTAACCATTTGTACCATCCTTTTTTTTTTAAATTGTGATTTGGGTGAAAGTTTGCAGAGCAAATTCACTTTCCGTACAGCAGCTCACATACACTTTGTCTCATGACATTGACTACAGTTTCCCACAATGCAACAGCTCCCCTCCCACTTCCTCCCCATAGTTACCTCTTCCCTGTGTCCTTCCCTCCATGCACTCTTATCCCCTGAGCTGGCTCCCTCTGCACACACAGCCTTTCTATTCTCCCATGATTGACCTTTCCAGGGAGTGTATCTACCTAGTGTAAATGTTTACCTCATATACCTGTCTTTTGTTTGGCTGGAAGCCACAGGAGCAGGTTCAATTCCAGAGCTGAAGGGCAGCTAGGGACCATAGTCTCAGTGGTTCCATCAGGCTCTATCAGACCAGCACACCTGGTCCCTTTTTTTTTTTCCCAAATGATTTTGAGTTTTGTTCCGCATTGTTCTCCCACTTTATCTAGGATCTCCTACATAGATCCCCCTCTGAGTGGTTGACAGTGGTAGCCAGGCACCATCTATTTCTTCTGGCCTCATAGTCGTATAGGCTATGGATCGCATGGTGTACCAGTTGCTTGGACTAATTGTTTCCATGTACCATGCTTTTTATGATGCACCATTTTTACTTGAA